TAAATTTTGCCGACCTGATGATGACCTTAAAAAGATTGAGGTCAGCAATAATTTGCCAACCTACTTTTTTTTAATTCCGAGGGTTGTATATATATATATATATATATATATATATATATATATATATATATATATATATATATATATATATATATATATATATATATATTCATAGTCAAAATTAATTTATTAAAAATGTAAAATGTTGAATTTTATATTGACATATTTAATATTGGATTTTATTTGTTTAAGCACAAATGGGGGTAGGTGAAGGCAAACAAATTGGTCAGTGGTTTGGGCCAAACACTGTAGCACAAGTGATCAAGTAACCTTTTTTGAATTACATAACTTTTGATTTTTACTTTTTCAAAGTGTTTTTATCAAATGCCATTTTTATTATAGGAAGCTTGTTTTATTTGATGATAATGCTGACATGGCTGTTCATGTGGCAATGGATAACACAGTTGTTATTGAAGACATAAGTATATTTCATTACCATAATGATGAATATAAAACATTAAAAATATAAAACATTAAAAAATTATTGTTTCACTGTTAATTTTTTGTTAGGAGGATTTTTTTTTTTTTTAATTTAAAATTTTTACTTTTTAGAAAAGTTGTGCAAATCTTCTATTAATGCATGGGGTTGCTATGGCGAATGCTCATATATACATGATAGATCCTCACTGACAGGAAATCAGTCAGTTTCAAAACCACCTCATTGTAGTTGTGAATCTTCCCAAAAACTGAAATCTAATAGGAAATTAAAATCATTTAATAGTGAAGAGCTGCAGTCATGGAGACCTTTGTTATTATTTATTCCCTTAAGACTTGGTTTATCTGAAATTAATTCAGACTACTATAACTCATTAAAAGTAATTATTATTATTATTACTTTTTATTACTTTTTATTATTATTATTTTTTATTACTATTATTACTGTAATTTTTATTTAATTTTTTTTTGAAAATAATTTTTATAAAAAAGCATTAACTTGAAAAAAGAGTTAAGTAAAATTAGTATTTAAGTAAGAAATTAAAATGTATAAGTGTTTGAAGCTTTAAAAAGTTTTTAAGAAAAATTTTAAGAATAATTTAATTAAAGAAATTTGAAAAGTTTTGGAAATCTTAACTTTGTTCCATTTTCATCTGTTTTCCATATTAGGTTGGTTTAGTGAAAAAAAATTTTAACAAAATATCTTACAAATACATCCTTTTTTGCATGGTAAAATAATAATAAAATGGAAAACAACAAATATTAAACTATGCTCTTATAGATTGCAACACCAAGCAAGTCAGATTTTTAAAATATTTGAGGGTTTTTATCATATTATTTAAAAAATTTGTTTGGGCTAATATTGGCTTATTATCATTTTTATATAATTTTACAATTGGCACCAAATTTTACAAAGTTTTTCCCCTTTAACAAATGTAAAATTAATTTATTTAAATTACATCTAATTAAAATATTTAAATTTTTTTTTATAACTTTTTAAACTCTGTATTTTTCTATACATAAATTTTTGAAAAATCTTTTTGTTGCTTTACAATAATCTTTTTGTTGCTACTTTTTGTTGCTACTTTTCAAAATGTATGAGATTTGTTGTGTAATTGTATGCACTATTACAGGTCCTTAAAGATAGTTTGCCAAAATTTTTGATGACTTTTTTGTTGTTTTGTTGTTATTTTTTTTAATAATAACTAGCCAATATAATTATTTATGTTGATGTTCAAATCACAGTGTTAAAACAAATGATTCAGAAACTTCTGGATATATAGAATTTTCAGAAACACTTTCAGAAGCTAATTGTTCTGGTTCAATGAGTTTAAATTAAGAATTTAATTATTCTTAAAGTGGACGCAAAGTTTATTTATTTACCTCAAATATTGCTTATCAATTAAACTTAAAATTTATGTGATCTTAAATTTAATAAATATAAATTAATAAAAAACAAATATCAAGAACAAAATATTTTTTAAAATAATTCTTTTTAAACATTACATTTTCTTTTAAATTTAAAAAATTGCATTAAACATAAAATTTTAAAGTGTTTAATTTTAAACACTTAAAAAATTGGAAACCATTTGTTTTTTTGTTTAAGATTATTTTTGAATTTTCAATTCATATATCTTTGTTTATTTATTTATAAATTTAAAAAGTTCAAAATATTTAGTTTATAAATATTATTTGTTTAAATTTAATTTTAGTTATATATATTTAGATAATGTTTACGTTAAGACAATCTTTAGGAGTAATCGGTGGTAAACCTAACCATGCACATTATTTCATTGGTTTTAATGGTAATATTTATTTTTAATACCATTATATATAAACATTTTAAAACATGTTTGTAAATAAATTTAAATATTTATCAGCAAAATTTTGAATAAATGTTTATACACTATGTTGTTTATAACAGTATATATGATTAGGTGACCGTTTATTATATCTTGACCCTCATACCACTCAACAAACAATAGAACCAGAGAGATTTAATGTCATTCCTGATGAGGTAGATTTTTTTGAAAAATTTGTAACAAAAAAACTTTTTAACAATAATTTTTTTTTTCTTTTTAGAATTCAAATATCTAGTTTTTTTTTAAATAATTTAGATTTTGTTTTTTAAATTGTAGTATTTAATTTTAGAGCTTTCATTGTGTTTACCCTTGTTTTATGAGTTTTCAAAGTTTAGACCCGTCAGTTGCATTAGTAAGTTTATCTGCAAATATTTTCAGGTTTCTTAATAATAAAGTTTATATTGTTCTCTTTATTTTTTATCTTTCCTAAATAAGATATAGAAGCATTTGAAATTCTTTTTAATTGTTTCTGTATTTTTAGGCAGATATTTACAGATGTTTATTAATAGAACTAAGATTAAAAAAATGTCATTATGGATTTAAATAGTAATTATAGATTAAATTTTTCAAACAATTATTGTTACAATTTTCGCTTTAGGGATTTTATTGTCATACAGAAGATGATTTTGATGATTGGTGTCAGGCTGTGAATGAGGTAGCAAGTGTTTTTAAAACTTTTTAATAAAACCTTTTTTTTAAACAATTGTTAAATGATTGTTTAATTCCCAATTCCAAAAATATTTTTTTGTATAATTTTTTATATAAAATTTATCTGGTCAAGTTTTTTTTTTTTTTTTTTTTTTTTTTTTCATCATCTCAAAAATATATATATTTTTTAAATAAACTTTATTAGTTTTATTTGCAAACTATTATATACATAAACTAATTAAAATCTAAAACTTGTTTTTGTTTTCTTTTTGTGAACATTTTGATTTTTTGTCTCATAGTAAAACAATCGTATAAATTTATAACAATCATATAAATATATAGCAAGATAAAAAAAAACTTTGCTCATGGTATGATTATATGATTATATATTATATATTGATGATTTCATCTGTTTTATATTATATATATATTATATATTATATATTATATAAAAAATAGTTTCAAAAAAGTTGAGAAAGCCATAAGTTTAGAATTAAATTAAGACAAATTTGAAGGAATTAAATTCTTTATTTTTTTATGCAAATTGTTTTTCAGACTTTTTAAATATGACTTATATGATCTTTGTTAAAAAAAAATTTTGTTAACAAATGTCTAGAAAAATGTTTTTTAATTTTTTTTTGAAAATAATAGTTTTCTTTTTTACAGTAAATTTAAAAAAATTGATTTTTATTTTGAAAATAAAAATACTTTTTATTTTTTCTATGAAGCTTGGTAATTATAAATATATATATATATATATATATATATATATATATATATATATATATATATATATATATATATATATATATATATATAAATATATATATATATATAATATATATATATATATATATATATATATATATATATATATATATATATATATATATATATATATATATATATATATATATATATATATATATATATATATGAATTTATTAAGCTTGTGGTACAACGTGAGAAACGACCGATGTTTGAAATTAATCAGACTCGTCCACGCCACTGGCCGCCATTTGAACTTCCTAAGAGACCATGTCATGATGTTGATTGCGTAAAATCAGGTAAATATTTTGCAAATATATTATCAGATTTACAGGTAGTAAACTAGTTTACAAATAATTATTCAATCTATTATTCCTTATACAGATGTGCCAGTCTATGTATCTATATATACAGTATCGGACAAAACATGTACAACATTATACAGATGTACAACATTATACAGATGTGCCAGTCTATGTATCTATATATACAGCATCGGACAAAACATGTACAACCAAAATATGCTAAAAGTTGATTTCCTTCTGGACAAAACAAGTGCAACTCCACAAAATGTTGACCAAGCTGTATTTCGCTATCAATATTTTGTGGCGAATCTTTTGTTGTCGTACACAGCCTTGCATCTTCGAGGCATAGATTTGATTTCAAACACCTTAATGATTAATTCTGCTGTAGACGATCTCCCACAGGTTCTCGATAGGGTTGAGATCTCGATAGGGTTGAGGCGGCCAATCCATCATCGATAGGTGGTTGTCTTGAAACCACTGCTTGACTACTTTTGCAGTGTGTTTCGGACCGTTGTCTTGCTGAAAAATCCATTTTGTTGGCATATTCCATTCAGCATGAGGTAACATAACATCTTTCAGGATATTTTTATACATGAAACGGTCCATTATTCCATCGATTTGATGTATTGGACCTAGACCGTTAGCAGAAAAACACCCCCGGACCATTACATTGCCTCCACCATGCTTCACAGTCTTATGGCAGTAACGTAAATCGAGGCGTTTTCCAGCCGGTACACAGCAAATGCTGTCGGCATTTGCCAAACGGTACACGGCAAATGCCAATTTCTGACATACACAGCAAATGCCATTGCTCCCAATGATTTTGAACTTCGATTCATCACTGAACAGGACAGTTCGCCATTTATGCACATTCCAGTCAATATGAGATGTAGCAAACAGGAGTCTTTTCTTCTGGTTCTTTAGTAAAATCAGCGGTTTCTTTGCAGGGCGTCGAGAACACAATCCGGCTTTAACAGCACGTCGTCTGATTGTTCGGTCCGATACAGGCAGCTCTAATTGCTTTTGTTATCTGCTGCCAACTTCCCCGTAGAACGATATTTGGAACATAGTCTTGATACTGTCCATTTTTGCACTTGAAGTCATAAAAATAATAAAAATAAATAATCACGGTTCTCAAGGCTTACCGTGTTACATTTACCTTGTAATGATACAATAATGCTTTGTGGAACACAACGTCTTGGTTGGATGTGGACTGTATTGATGTAATGAAACACTTGTTGTATTTCACTTCTTGTATTGATGTTCTTCGATAAAACACTTTGATAAAACTCACTTCGATAAACTGTTTTGATAATACTGACTGGTTGACTTCCATATACTGACTGAATTACATGTCAGTTTACATATAATTCGTCTCTTATATTGTAAAATAAACCTGTGTGAACCTGTTCTGGAAGATTCTAGATGCTTCTGGATTCTTCTGGATGCTTCTGGAAACTTCTGGAAGCTTCTGCATGCTTCTGGAAACTTCTTACTTCCTTTAATTATTAAAAAACTTCCGTGACGTTGACATGGACCAGTCTTAAGAAAATGAAACAAACCAAAAAAGTTGCAGTTGTTTTGTCCGCTACAAAATGGCACTTGTCAACGAAATTCTGCCTGTGTGCTGTCACCTGTCAGCTGATTGCTCATGTCATGGCATGCAAAATTTGTTTCATTAGATTTGGTGATAGCTATTGATGGTAGGCTAATTTGGTGGTCATTGTGCAGTTTTAAAATCTTGTCAAAATATCCTGTCAAAACATTTTGTGATTTTTAAAAGAAAAAGTAATTTAGTTACTTGTTGCTTGTAGGCTATTACTAATTGTATTTTTATTAGCAGTTTTATTTAAAACAGGTTTGCAGTTTTGGATTTTTTTAAATTTTATTTGCAGTTTAAATTACTATAAAATGTTATAACTAAAGGAAAAATTTCTTTAGGGTTATTTTAGGATGCTGATCATTGTAATTTTGCATTGTAAAACTAACAGCCTTTTTTAAATAAAACCTTTTTTTTTAAGTAAAACGGACAACCTTTTTTAAATAAAACCTTTTTTCTTGGTTAAACTGACAACCTTTTTTAAATAAAACTTTTTTTTTGGTTGAACTGCCAACCTTTTTTAAATAAAACTTTTTTTTTGGTTAATCGATTTCAACTAGCATTGAAAGTAATCTAAACTTATTTTAAATGAAACTACTAATGAGAGAGTTACAGTTTTTTCAAACACTTGTTATAGCCTAAAAACAACCAATATAATGAGATGACTTACTTCTGCCAAATTTCCATATGCACCATCGTTGAAAAAAATAATTTCAAATTGCTTATGTTTGAAGATATTTGATGTAAAATTTGTAAGTTATATCTACAAAGAGTACAAAGCAATGGGAGCTATTTGGAAAATAAAAGGTTTATTACTTGTAATAATGTGGTCAATTTATATATATATATATATATATATATATATATATATATATATATATATATATATATATATATATATATATATATATATATATATATATATACACACACATTGCGATGGTTTAAAGACACTTTCAAAAAAACAGTTTGAGATTCTCAATCAATTAGCTAATTATAAATTATTTCAGTAGATCAAAAAAACTGTATTCTTATTTTATTTTTAATGTAATTAATTAATAATTTTTAACAATAGTTATGGACAAAGTATTCAAGAAATAGTATTTCCACATGTATCTTAAGTGCTTAGAACTATTGATATATGTTCTTTTAAATTTGTTCATTAAAGACACGCCATTATATATATATAATATATATATATATATATATATATATATATATATATATATATATATATATATAAATATATATATATATATATATATATATATATATATATATATATATATATATATATATATATATATATATATATATATATATATATATATATATATATATATATATATATATATGATTGTTTAATGTGTTTTTTTTTAAAGTTAAATAAAATTTAGATTTCACGGAGCTAAATTATGATTATGGTGCCGAAGAAAAACTTTTTGACTCAAGTGGAGAGTATGAAATTTTATAAATGTTTTATGTGTGTCTTGAATGTTCTTTACTACAAAAGTTTTGACAAGTCATTTTTCATTTGTTGAATGTGTGACATTCGATTCAAATGTTAGATTATTTTGAAATATATCTATTGTTTCTTTATGCAAAGAAAATGTATAATTAAATCTAATTTATAAAATGTAGTTAATTCTTATTTATAAATAATAATGAAATAATTTTTTTTTTGTGCAAGTTTAGTTTAACTAAATATAACGTAAAACAATTACGTAATTTTTAAATTTTTTGTGTGTGAGTGTATTTAGTATAACTGAATATAAGGTAAAATTTGTAAAAAAAAGTTCATTAATATATTAAAGTTTTTTTATTAACTGTTTTAAAATATTTCTACATTTGTAGAAAATTTAGTTTTTTAGTGCTGTCTATTGTGTACCAGTATATATATATATATATATATATATATATATATATATATATATATATATATATATATATATATATATATATATATATATATATATATATCCAAAAACATATACATATCATATGGTTAATGATATGGTTAAAATATGCAAACGCATTTAAAAAAAAAGAAAAGAAGCGCAATTCGATTAGAAATTTTACTTCGTATTTGTCAACAAATAAATAGAAGAAATAAAGTATTTTTATGTTTTACGAATTATTACGTTGTAAAATTATAGGCTGCTCAAATTAATATACAAATTCTCCTGGAAATTCCCGTTTGTTCAGATTCCTTGATGTTTGCGCAAACGTTCACCAAACTGCCTAAAAAAATCGCCAACTTAGCCTAGTTGTAAATTGTTTATCTTTTTTTTTACCTTAGTCAGGCTAATATATAAAATATTATTTTAATAATATTTTTTGCATTAGTTCGATAAAGATAAAAAGTAAAATTTGAAAAAAATGATAAAAATATAATTTCGAAAGATTGCTTGTACTAATTAAATTTAATCTGTTATTTAAGTATTACGTTTTTATTTATTATAAAAAAGGGTGCGCTTTTATTTCTAATCAAACGTGGTCCTCAAAATGTAATGGAGTTGTTTGATTTGTGAATGATGTGGTTGAAATATAAAAAGCCGAAGGAATGACTTGTTATGTGTATTTGTGATGAATTGACTTTTAATGTGTTTATGTGATAAATTGACTTGTGATGTGTATTTGTGATAAATTAAAAAGAAACATGTTTGAAGCATTTCTTATGAAGTTTAAACATAACAATTTTTGATAATTATATAGTTTATAAACTTTCTTTGAGTAAAGATTAGGCACCTGCATTCAAAAATAGACCACTTGCTTGCATAGCCATGGCTAAGCTCCGCCACACCCATAAACGGGGGTAGGGCCAAATTTAGGGGCTCTTTTGCAAATGTAAGGACTTTTTTTTTAGTAATACCAAATAAAAAAAACTTCAAAATTGTGGGGCCCTTATAACAGGTTTTGGAGGCAAGCGGGGCCTCAGACCTAGTAGTCACGGCACTTCTCGCTCGCTTTCGTTTGCTATTAATTATTTTTAATTAAGAAAAAAGATAGCCCATACTATATTACAATAACTAAGGTAAAGGATTAGTCTAAGTTTAAAAGGGGATCGGATTCGGAATATTTTTTTGAACATAACATTCCAACTTTTTACTTTTTAAATTTCGTAAGTAAAATGGAATACAATGCCGTGTTATATTAAATAAAATTTACATGACCGGGGCTAAAAAAAGACAATATTTACATTATCACAACGCTCCGAGTTGTATTCATCAGCAAGCGCGTACAACTAGTAAAATGTAAACATACAGTCAATTTGTATTATCTAATAATTATATAACAAAACTTACAAGTTAAGATAAGTTGCTAAACTATAATTAAAAAAAAAGAGTAAAAATAAAATAAAAAATAATTTAACCAAAAAACCAGAGATAAACTAATTGGATAATTCAAAGAATATTTAGTTATAAAAAAATAGTTATCAAAAAAAATTTAGAAGCAATTTAATTTATTAACATCATTAAGATGTTTGAGTTTTTGTTTCAATAGAGAAAGAGAAGGAGATTTTTCAGTTCTTTATTTAATTAAGTGTTAGGATCTGATAACAATACAAAGTTTTGTAGCCAATTATAAGCAACCTAAAAAGTGCATTTTAGGTTGCTCATAATTCTAATTTGAAAACCTTGTTGGGTACACGTGATTATATTTATTGAAAAGTGTACTAAATAATATAGGAAATATTTTATTATGAGTTTTGTATATAAAAATAAGAATTTGGTTAAGGTTTAACTGACATTGAATATGTCTTGATTTTTAAATAGTTATTTAGAATGTGTGAATCAACATGCACTTGAAATAATTCTTACAGTGCGTTTTTGTCTACGAAACAGTTTATAATTTTACTTATTATAACTGCACCAAGCAATATTTGCATAGTTTATATAAAAATGTATCAAGGAGAAATATAAGATCTTGAAATATAAGAAATTTTATTTTCTATCGTTCTCATATGTTTTCTCCATGTCCGTTTTCGTCAAGTATCACTCCTAAAAAAAAGTTTCCGATTGGAGTAAAATAAATTCATGTCATCTGCAAATCAAAACGAATTAAAAATGTTTCAAAAATTATGAAAATCATTTACATAAATAAGAAATAAAAGTGGACCCAGAAACGCGTACATACTGGTTAAGAATTAGAAATTTTGTAAAGTTCTGATGGAGAGATTGATCCACAAGTTATTCTTTCTATTTTTGTTGGATTTTGTCCAAACAAGATTAACAACAATACAAGTACACAGTAATCAGTTTTATCGTTGTTTATGGATTTTTTCATGAAACTGGTAATTACAAGTTTATCATTTCTAATCTTGAGGTAATTACAAGTTTATCATTTCTAATCTTGAGGTAAAAAGATAGAGCTTTAATTTTGAGAAAAGAGCAGCCGTAGCGCAGTAGTTAGCGCGCTTGCCTTAGAAGGTAGAGATTACGTGGTTCAACGCCACCTCTAGGCAAGTTTTACAACATCGGTAAAAAAGGAGGCGTTGGAGGTAAACTTCCTTTCAAATGCTCTTTCGCAGTGCTCTGTGGTAAGATCGTAAGGACTTCTTGGGACACCTAAAATAATTTAAAAATATGTATTTTTTTCTTAATCTGTAATTAGGGCCAAGAGTTATTTATTTATTTAATAATTATTTGATTTAAAATTTTAATATATAATAGATTTCAGTATATAAAACTTTGATATGGAATAAACTCAGAATTTTTTTATGTGCGCAACATACAACTTTTTGAAAATTTTCTCCTCATATGTTTTTGAACATTTTTCCTAAACGTCAAATCAATGTAGAGTTATCCAATTGAAAAAATGCTCAAATAGTTTAAATTTGTTTAAAACTACAGTACTAAGGTTTATGGCAAGAATATAAAAGATTCTAAATTCTCCATTAATGATGAACATAACAACAATAATTTCGAAAGAAACGTGTTTTTGAAATATGAAATAGATGTTTTATTTCCATAAATTAATCCAAATGCAAAACTGTATACATGTACAAATCATTTTTTAAACTTGACATGTATTCATGCAGATTCTAGTGCTTCCATTTTCATTACATTTTTAGGAACTATCGAGTAGCGGTTTCCATCTTTCACTTGTCGATGGAATGTTTTACTTGGAAAAGTTGACATCTCAAAAAGAAAACAGATCAACTGCTGGAATTACTATTTTATTATAAGTTTTGTAATAAAAACAAGATTAAATGCTCAAAATTACTCAGTTGAATCCAATCATTTTCTTTTTCATGTTATAAATTTATGGGAACCAAAACTTTTAAAAACTGATTAGGTGCAAAAATACCTTCAAGTAAAAGTTTTAAATATTCATCAATGCTATATAAAGCTTAATTTTTTGCAAACCCATTTCCTGGAACAATTATTAATTATTACGCAAAACATTGTAAAAGAATCAAAAAAAGTTGTAAAGAGTTGGAGATATCGCAGTGACGACAAGATAGAAAAAGAAAAAATATCATTAGAATTACAAAAGAAACAAAAAAACGCTTTGATTAGTTTTCCAAAAAAATATTTGATCATAATACCATCCCTAAGGCCGTCCCTAGAAGGGAGGGGGGGACGTAGGGTGTCTAGCCCCCTACGGATTTTATTAGTCAGCAAATCGGGCACTAGAGTCGGCAAAATTGGATTTAGTTGGCAGTCGGCAAATGTCGAAAAACGAGAACCTAATTTTTTTTTATGGAAGGTTAGTAGGCATAAAATTTTTTTTGGGCTTTTGTCGGCAAATAACAGACACGGCACTCTCCCCCCCCCCCCCCTACTTTAAAATCTCTTTGGGACGGCCCTGAATACCATGCAACTTACTAAATAAAGAAATTAATTGTCACATAAATGACATTATCAACATTAATAAAAAAACAGTTTTTGTATAAAGGACCTGCAATACAAGAAACGGCAAAACGTAAGAAAAGCGGTGGGGAAGACCATCTTAATTTTTTAATTGTCGTTTTGAAATTTATTCAACATTATAGAGTGGAAAGTTCTGTACGTTGTAATTTTGTTCAAAAAATCTTTAACAATTGCTATCAGTACTAGGGTTCATTATCGAAATTGCAATTTTCGATAATTTTAAAACGTTATCAAAATACTTCTTCTTTTTCGAAATCTAAAAAAACTTTCGAAAATAATCAAACTAGCCATATTAATTTTGAAAAAAAAAAAGTAGTTTAGAATTGTGAAATTAATTTCGAAATTAAAAAGTGGATTTCGAAAGAAAAAAAAAGAATTTCGAAATGTGAAATAAATTTCGAAAAAAAAGTGTATTTCGAAAAGTGAAATTAAATTCGAAAGAAAAAAAAGAATTTCAGAGTGTGCAATTAATTTCGAAAAAAAGATATTTTTGATGATGAGCTAAATTAATTTCGAGAATGAAATAATCGAAAAGTTTAATTTATTTCGGAAAAAAAATTTTTTTTTAGAAAGTTAAATTTATTGCAAAAAAAAACAACGTCGAATTAACGCTATAAACTTTAAAAGCATAACTGCATAAATGCAATTTTAATATCTTAAATATTATTTGCATAATAATACTAAATAACCGGAGGCCTAATTAATTTACCATGGGTATCGGCAGGTAAATTTTTTATAATATATATATATATATATATATATATATATATATATATATATATATATATATATATATATATATATATATACATATATATATATATATATATATATATATATATATATATATATATATATATATATATATATATATATATATATATATATATATATATATGTATATATATATATATATATATATATATATATATATATATATATATAT